GTCACTACAAAACCCAACAGTAAGTACGCTCTCTTCTTCTAATAACAGAAATCAAATTATACATTTCATTTTTCAGCAGACCTTAATCAAGAAAACAGCTCAGTTCGACTCTAGGGAACGKGCTGCTTTTCAGGGACTAAACCTGTTTCACTCAGCATAATTTCCATTGGATAAACAAGTTAAATTTCGTATACTTACATAGCTTTTTTTTTTAACCTTATTTTTTCAATATCAGGCGCTGCAGCAAAATCAGAGTACCAGACGATACTTTTCAGCGTGTGCTTCGCGCTTCTGATGACACTGACTTCAATTTAATGACAGGGCCTCAACATTTTTTCAGTGATAACTTAAAGTAGCTAAGGTTAGGTAAGGTCAAAAACGAGTCAAAAAGAGTCAGTTTAATATTCGGACGGGTTTCAAAACCCGTTTGTCTTTTGCCCGTCTTTTTAGCAATATATGTCCTTGAGCCCTAATGGGGTATGAGTCAAAAGCTCATGAGGCAGAAGGCACGCGGATTGGTTATTGACTAATATTGACTCATAGGCCATTAGAGCGAGAGAAATCATTGTTTTAGACAAATCCAACTAGTGGGTCAAATATATAAATGCAAATAAGTTTTGAATAGACCTATCCCGAATTCGCATGACTGATTACGAAACAATGGTTTCAAGTCGAGGTTGAACTTGATGAATAAAAGAATCAAGTCCAGTCTCGACTTCAAACCATTGTTTCGTGGTCAGTCAAACGAATTCGGGATAGGTCTATAAAAGGTAAATCCAATGTTTGGGTTTTCGGAGCCGGCACTTTTCGCTACTAGTAGGACATAACTTATGGCTTAGTAACCCCTCATCCAAACAAAACGCCATTTAAAGTGGATATCGCCGAGCCAACTGAAAGCCTAACCATTTGTAGATGTAATTACATAATTACAAACGCAGCACTTAGCCTCCTCCGCAGGCTACTCGCTAAGGTTTTTGTTGGTTTGGTTTTTGTTGCTGTTCGAGAGGGGTGGGTATCCTGTGGTGAAAACGATGTCGGTCAACTCTCAGCCAACACAGGAAGCCCAGTATAGGAAAAGAGAGAGGGAAGAGAGCAAAGAGACGCCTGCAGAGGAGACTAGGCAGCAATTTCTTTTCAGTTATTTTAAGACCCTGGGTGTTGTTCCGGCTGCCAATGTGTGACGAAATAAGGATCCCATCATCAGATTTAAAAAAAAATTTGCATGATGAAAGAACATCATACTAAAAGTAAATAAGCAAATTAAAGATCGGAGTCTCCGACTTTGTTTAGCCGTCAGAACACGTGGAAGTTCACCCTTTTTATTGTAACAACGCGCAATCAACGTAAACTTGGAAAGCTGTCAAAAATGTCATATTTTACTGAAAAAATTAATTGGTAGTCCCCATTTTTCAAAGACGACTAAAAAATAACCAAATAACTAGTTAGCATTTGAAATGTGTGTTACAAATTTAAAATATTACTATGATCAAATTTCTAACTTGCCGGTAATTTTTTGTTTGGTGTTGCGAGTATTGTTTTTTTTTTTGGCATGGATTGGAAGCTCTCAGTTATACTAAAGTGAAATGTCGCTTTCCTTTTACAAATATCTATGTTCTTAAATGGCGGCCATTCTGCTGATGACGTCATATTCTCAATAAGCCTTTTCATAGTTTAAGAATCGATTCCACTGCGCATGCGATTTTATCCCGAATTTCTACTTTCTTTTGTCTAAACCTTCTTTTGTTCTTAATTAAACAAAGGAAGGTGAGAAATTCGGGATAAAATCGCATGCGCAGTGGAATCGATTCTTAAACTATGAAAAGGCTTATACTCACCAGTATAGGATTATAAGCTTCGCCTCAGCCCAATTTCGATAAAAAATTGACCAAATTTAGTATTATCATAGAACTTTGGCTGTTTTTTAATATATACTATAATGATCAGTTGTCATAGCAACAACCTCGATTCGAGAGGTTGCCATAGCAACCACAGTTTGTGTAATCAAATACTCAGAAATA